TTTATCTTTATTAAATGATTGAGTAAATATGCATTTTATTAGTTCATCACCTTTATAGTAAATTATTTAAAAACTTATGCAAAATCATTCGTTTAAGAGTTTATGTACATAGACTGTAATTTTCAGTCCAAAACGTTTCTTTAAAAAAAATTATATTAAACTTTTATTTTTTTCTTATACAAGAAAAAAGCCTTTTCTGTAGTTTATAGTGAAATTGGGATTTATCAAAGTAGTATATTTATATTCAAATTTACCAGCTGCACGAGATGATCATTAAATATATTTAAGTGTTGAAATTTAAAATATTTGAATTAATTTTGCATCGATTTTGACTTATCATTAATTTTTTTTTGAAGATTCTCAAGATAATCTATGACACTTTTAAACACAATATTAACAAGTAGTCAAATAAATTTTTTTACTAAGCAGCAAAATCAACGATGGAATGTATAAGCGGATTGGGTTAACATTTTAGGATAAAATGTAAATTTTTCTATTTTGCATTTTTTGACTACCGTTTCAACTTGAGAATGATTTTTTTATTATCAAACTTTTTATTGACAAAATGTCAAATGTCAATAACTTTACTATCAATTTTTGATTATTTAATGGTCATTGATATTTGTTTCAATAAAAATTTAAAGTAATTTGGACACGTTTCGTACTTTTGAAATACGAAAATATTTATGATATTTTCAAGCTCATTATGAAGCGCTACAGTTCCAAACATTGAGTATCTGAATTTACTATGAAAAGTATCAGGAATTTTTTAAAATTTGTTTTAAATGTCCTTTCCTTGAAATAAGTATAAAGTAGTGGAATAAAAAAATTCAATCATTCATTCGGAAAAATGTGATTTTGCTGTTGAACAAATCATATACACATTAACTCTGTAACAGCAAAACTGTTGTATTTCGATTGTTCTTGACAATCGTTAAAAACCATGTAATTTTATTCTCCTTTACTTTTTAAACATAACACTGAATGATCGCGATCAGGCATTTCAAAAGATATTTTATTTTTCTCTTTCTTTTAAAAACTCAACAATAAGCAACAGAAATTCAAAATATATATACATGCAGTTAGGTATATTTTTAAGCAATGTGCATATATGCAATGATGATGTAGGGTGGAAAAACATAAAAAAGAGTGAGAAACAATGAACAATAAGAAGAAATGAAAATGTTAATAAATTCTCAATTTGTTTCGATTTTATATTGCAATTGTGGTATTCTTCACTTATTGTTAACATTTCAAACGAATAAACGCATCATTAATTTGTATGTAATTTGTTAATATGACTTTGGATATTGTATATATACTTATTGGGAACGCGTTATAAAAGAGACATCTCATCTTATTTTTGGTAATAAAAAATGGTATGAAAGATAATTCCTATTTATGAGGCATGATTCAATATGTGAATATACATTTGTTATTCAACAAATATATAGTCTGCAATATTGCTCGTTAAGCGACGAGAAAATTGAAAGATGAGAGAAACAAAAGAAGCAATATTGTACAGACTCTTTGGTTGTTTCAAGAATGGCAATATTTCACCCAACAAAATAATATGAATGCTTCATGGCGAATAAAAATGGAATATAATAAAATGCACATATAGAAATACTTGAAAGCGCATCCATAATTTATTTTCAAATTCGACATTAATAAAAACGCAATAACAATAACTTAAATTGAGCTTTTAATACTCTATATTAAATCATGCTCATCTCATTATATCCCATATAATCGTAATAACGATGCAGGGATTTGAAATTAATTTTCTGCTCTACCGCAGACGTTCTACATTCTATGTATATTATTATGATTTCATAAGCTTGCCTGTACGAGCAATATTTCACACAACTATTTGCTAAGCAAAACTGCAGCACATTAAATTCAATTTTTATCTTTTAATAAAAGTATTCTTTATTTTAATGACTGCTTGCACAACATTCCTCACTATGTCAGACATAATTAAATTAATTCAAATCTCCATCAAAATTGTTATCATGTCAAATATTTTTAATACTACAACTCGTCTTTTTTCGCTTTATAAATCTGTTGATGACAGTGGCGCTATTAAAATATCGTGCCTTGAATTCTAAAATATTTAATTCATTGGTCTGGTTCAGAAGATTTGTTCAAAAAAAAAAATTGTTTTCTGCATGTGAATGGAATTGAGATTAGAGGATCGTGTGATCATTTTAATTTGCAAATTTAAATTCTATAGAATGAACATACAGAAAAAAACTATCAAATCCAAAAAATAAAAATTTTGTAGTTAAGCTTCTAAGAAAATAGATTAATAGAAAGACAGAATAAGCGCCTTTAAAATGACTCATATTATGATATAAATCGAATTTGGTGTGATTCAATGGAAGTAATTTATTTAAATTTAATTACATGTACGTGATACACGAGCAATTATATTTAATGATTTCAATTGTGTCAGTATGAATTTTCGTACAATTATGACATAAGCTTTTTTAGCGGAAATTATATGCGCTCTAGTAAAGTTATAATGAACTTCTAAAGTACATTAATTTCGGTTTCTTTTTCTGAATGAATAAATGCGCTTGTTTTACGAAAAGGAATGGCAAGAGAAGGAAATAAGAACATATTTAAGATAAAAATGATTGATAAATTTTTCTGTACACAAATCATCATTCATCATCATAAGCAGTAATTTTTCAGAAGAGCTGAAGCAATCGACTGAAAGAGATCTTTATGTAAACATTTATCCACCCCTACATTTATATATTTTTTTTCTTATGCATTTCATAAGTGCCTTCCTCCCATTCCTGCGTTTATGACATATATTTAATTACTTGTTTATTTATTGTTCGGTATCCCTTTATTGTTTCTGGCTGTGTGCGCTTTAATCGATGATGATGATCATGATACATATGCAATTTTTCATTGCTCTGTCTGCACATATTATTTTTTTCAAAATAATGTACCAAACGGGATGACAGCAAAAAAAAGGCGATGAAATAAACTTAATGGGGCGACGACGAGTCCATATGAGTCAAAAGAGGATATTCGACAAATTTTTCATTTCTCTCTTTACATTATTTGGCATTTATGATGTAAAGAACTTCATTTGAACAGTAAAGATATAATTATATGGATTTGAAGTCAGTTTGAGATAAGCTTTGGCCTGAAAATTTTACGGGTGTATGAGTGTTATGATATAACTCAAAAGAATATTTTTATTTTTAAGAAAGTTGTCAAATTCATTGACATTTACGAGGCAACATCAATACTTTATAGCCACAATTGTTAACAGATATATTGACTGAAAATTAGTAAAGAGGAGTCATAAAAAATTTTCAGAGTTTTGATTCTTTCCTGCCCGTACCATTTGAATTTTAATTTTATTTTATTATTATTTATATATAGAGGAATTTTTACGATCATAAAAATAAAATTTAGTGTGAGGCGCGATTTTTGAATGGACTCAAGTAATAAACTAAGCACGAAACCAACCCGACAGATGAAATAAAGAATATGATAAGATTTATACATCACCTCGCAGCACAGAAAGAAAAGAGGAAACTTTATTGTATCTCATTTTTTTAATTGTATTTTACGTTGTCTTCCTTTTATTTTGTTTAAAAGGTGATTTGTCGGCAATTGAGCGTGGCGGCATAAATAATAACAACAATAAAAAATAAATATAAAAAGTGTAAAATCATTACCTATATTAACAAATTCATTTATCACAATCTCATTAGATGAATTATTATATTAATAACACAAACTTGTTTAAATTAAATTTATTATTATATGAGTATAAATTGCACCCATCCAATATTTGTATCCAATATAATCTTTCGCATGATGGAAAATTGCTCGAGCAGAAGATGTGAGTAACTGCAACGATCAGAAAATTGAAGGAAAAAGCGCATTTATTGAATACAAATGCAACTAGCCCGTAATGTTTTAGCACCCCCCCCCCCCCCCACCCGCCATTCACTTTAAATGTCACAAATCTCCCCTCTCCCATTTATATTTTGATTCTCAATTAATGGACAATATGCAATCACTCATAGTTTCATTGTAATGAAAATGAAGCACAAAAAGAAGTCTGAAGTGGAATAATAAAAGTATATCTCGTACACACAAAAAAAGTTAAAAAGTATTTTTATAAAAGCAAATTCTCATAAAAATATAAAATATTTAAGAGATAAAAGGGCACTGCAGTTCGTGATTTTTTCATTTAGCGTATATTGTTGCATCTCGCTCTTGAAGGTAGAAATTGAATGAGGTGCGATTCATATTTCAATGTTACGTCACGATGTGTATATTACTCACTAAAGCATTCCTATATCCGCCACAGACCACAAATATACAGAACATTTCCCATATACTTTTATAGAGGTACCTCTAAAAGATTGAAGTTCATTCAGTGCAATATAAACGAAATGAAATGGATATTTAATTATGAGAAGTGCAATCGGTTTTTCACTTGATACAGCAACATTATGAAATGAAAGATTGGTACGACGTGTTCAATTTGATTCCATTGCTTTTATAAAATAAAATAATTTTTTCCTCTTCTCTTTCACTATTGTATGCTGCTTGTGAAATATATTATGATAAAAAAAAATTAAAAGAGATGAGATGAGAAGTGGGGATGATACACAGCAGTTAAATGGGCTCCGAAAAATTATTACTTTAAGAAAATTGCTATAAAAAGATGCGCGCTTCCTTTGAAGTGCACTGTTGGGAATAATTTTCTTAAGCATGGATATCTTGTTAAATTTTTACACAACAGCAAGTATACCAATGTATGTGGGGGAATCACTGTAAACTGGAAAAAAAATTGCAAGTACCTCCATAATGAAGGTAGAAATATGTATGAGGAATAGAATTTTTACTCGAAACTAAGAAGTTTTTAAAAAAAGAATACAATTCCTGACATTTTACGGTCATAAAATTAAATGAATATGCAGAATATGAACCGAAATCCCAAAAAATAAAAATTGAATTTCAAACGTGTGAAAATGTTTTTATTGCCAAAAAATATTATCCTTTTGTGATAAAACAATTTTATACTAATTGATTCTTCTCATCGACGATCCGATTGATTGTTATAATTGTTATCCCATCGACTTCTCCGGCGTTGGCTGTCTTGATTAGAATGTTCACTTGGTCTACTTGTGCGTTGATTATGAGGTTCTCTGGATCTATTGTTGTAATCTTGTCTTCTAGACATAAGAGAATCACTTTTCCATGACAGTCTAGATGACGAATTATAGTCTCTTCTGTACCGCATGTCATTTGATCTATAGTCAGTTCTCTCTCGTGCTTCATAATGTCGTCTTTCTCGATAATCGATTCTGCTACTTGATGGTGAAGATGTGTCAGGGAGAAAATTCCTCGAAGATCTATGGTTATATCTTTGCAAATGTTCTGCATCTGATTTACTAAACGCGCCACTATTAATTTTCCTTCTTTTACGATCATCATATCTTTCATCATCAATCTCAGTCTGGTTGCTTCTCTTAATAGCTCGTTGATTATTCGGTACCAAAACAGGCAGTGTATTTGCGGTTTGCTTAAGATTGGAATTAGAATCGTGTAACTTGATACTGCTTATATAATTTTCACGTTCAATTTCATATCCCCGTGCTTCAGCAAATCTTTTGATTGCTTCATTTGGTGGTATTGATAAAACCAGCACCATATATGAACAGACGAAATATCCTACATGCAAATAAAAATAAAGCAAGTATGAAAATCTAGCAAATTAGAATGAAAACTTTAGACGCATTTCTTCAAAACAAAACTTTAAATTCAGCAGTTCAAAATGAACGATTCTAAAGAATGTGCATATAAAATAAAAACTCATATAAGCTGTTAGGAAAATATTATGCTTACCTGTACGATTAAGACCATGAGTGCAATGAATTCCAATAAGTTTTGCTGCGGATAGACATAAAGAAAATATTGTTAAAAAAAGATGTTTGACTTATTTTTCTTTCTCTCAAATGTAAACTTACATGGATTCGTATCCAGAAACTGTTTTACTTCATGACAGAATTGCACCAAAAGATGTTGTGAAGGAGTGACATGGCCTGTAAGAATGGAAGGAAAGAGAATGAAAACAAAAAATGCAAAAACTGTGCAAAACCAACATATGTAAAGAAATAAGAAGAACGTATGTTTGAAAAGAAATGTTATGTAAGATGAAATATTACATCGATTCATGATGTTATTAATATGCCTCCAAGCGTCGAGAAAATCCGATCAATGTAATTTGTCTGGCTAGTCTCAATACTAATTCTTTCACATTGGATATATGAACAAGTATTTTTCATCCCATTCTCTTATTTGAAAAATTGCTTTAAAATAACTATTTAAAAAGAAACTTCTGTATGCTGTTGTTTATTCGGAATGAAAGGGAATTAAGTTTTCATCAACAACAATAACGTTATTGAGATGTATGTATTTAAAGTTTTCCTGCTCGTGACACGAGTGTGACATATTGAGATTGATGAAATGCTATTCTTTTCAATAATTTTTTCGTCTTCTTTTCATATGACAAAAAAAAAAAACTTTATGTCACAATCTGTTATGTGTGTCCAAATCCCATTAAAAGTTCTTTTTATGATTCCCTCATTGTGTATTACAAAGGGATGATGAAGGCTCTATTAAAGTCGTCACACTAATTTCTCATAAGCTCACACACTATCTGACTCATTTTGTTTTTATTCGTCGGCATTGGCTTTGGGATATTTTACGGAACGTATATTTTAATAATGTATTAATACAATTTTATGACATCGCATTCGCAGAACTATCCGTAAATAAAAGCTTTTATATTACTTTTATAACACGACAGTCATAAAACTATTTTTGGTTAATTCCGTTAATTCAATAAACATATTGTAAAATCAAATGATAATGGGATGTTAAAGCAGTTTACACGCAATAAAGCAAATTTAAATTACTCACCTTCTACTTTAATCCATTTATAATCAATACCACAAGATTTCCAATCATTCGGTTCATAATACTTTGTACCTTTTTGTGTGTTTGTTAAATTTATTACTAGACCAACATTTGGCAAGGCTTCTATTATATCACGTGTTGTGTGCCTGCAAAAAATTTAAATAAAACATAATATTTCTTTTTATTTTGCAATAATAGCAGTACAATGATTTGTAGGTACAGTAGCGTGCAGAATATTATGGACGGTCAAAAAAATTTCGTTTTTATTCTCAAAAGCATACTTAACGTTGTCCAATTTAGATGAAATTTTCACCACTTATACTGTTTTTCATGTGCTTTCACATGATAAAATATAAATATGCTATAGTTAATAATTTTTGAAAAAACCGTTAAAATTCAAAATCAGGTGCGTGCAAAATATTATGGACGATTCTTTTTTGGTAATTTTTTTTATGTTTAAGCTATTTAAGCTTACTTTTTAAACTTTAAACATGAAGTTCAAACATTTTACTCCAATTTTATACATTCTTAATGGATGTGTGGCAAGTTTAAGGCATAAAAAAATCATGATGAAAAATTATGCAAATATTTTACTATTTTTGTTACTTTTCATCAATAGCAAGCATTAATATCGGTTATTTTAAACTGTAATGTATTGAATTCTTAACTATCTTTCTATTGATATATAATTTGTCTGTATTAATATAGTCTAAATGAAAAAAATTACGAAAAAAGTTCATTGAAGAGGGAAAAATTTCATCAACAAAAATATAAATTGATTAAAATTTCTTAAATATCCATGAAATATTACCCAATTTAGTCTTATTTTCTCACATTTATGTTGTAGATTAGTAATTAGGTAGAATTACATTTTAATATTGCACGATAAGATATATTTTTATGAGCCAATACTATGAAAAAAGTCATGTTGAAACTTGAAAAATATTTCATAATATTTTTTACATTTTATGCAGTATAAATTTATGTAAATCAATTAAAAACAACTCAAAATACTCTTTGCCAACTATTTAAGCCAAAAACAAGAGAGAAAAATGCATATTTAAAAGTTTAATGACAAATATTTTTTTTGTCTTTAAAATTTTCTTTTGGTCATACAGAAGGCTCTCTTTTTATGACTTTATTACTCAAAATATAAATTTATAACTGCTCAATTACTAATCTACAACATAAATGTGAGAAAATAAGACTAAATTGGGTAATATTTCATGGATATTTAAGAAATTTTAATCAATTTATATTTTTGTTGATGAAATTTTTCCCTCTTCAATGAACTTTTTTCGTAATTTTTTTCATTTAGACTATATTAATACAGACAAATTATATATCAAAAGAAAGATAGTTAAGAATTCAATACATTACAGTTTAAAATAACCGATATTAATGCTTGCTATTGATGAAAAGTAACAAAAATAGTAAAATATTTGCATAATTTTTCATCATGATTTTTTTATGCCTTAAATTTGCCACACATCCATTAAGAATGTATAAAATTGGAGTAAAATGTTTGAACTTCATGTTTAAAGTTTAAAAAGTAAGCTTAAATAGCTTAAACATAAAAAAAATTACCAAAAAAGAATCGTCCATAATATTTTGCACGCACCTGATTTTGAATTTTAACGGTTTTTTCAAAAATTATTAACTATAGCATATTTATATTTTATCATGTGAAAGCACATGAAAAACAGTATAAGTGGTGAAAATTTCATCTAAATTGGACAACGTTAAGTATGCTTTTGAGAATAAAAACGAAATTTTTTTGACCGTCCATAATATTCTGCACGCTACTGTACATAAATATGAAAATAATTTGTGAAGGTGAAAGGAATTAAATTTTTATGAATATGTTTTTAAAAAATACATACAGAAGGGAAGTGAAAAAGGAACAATAAATTTTTAACAAAACAATAAATGGAATGTTTAGGCATGAAAATAATAAGTTTCTCCTCACCTTGCTCTTTCTGGCATATTTTCACAAATTCTCTGTAAAGAAGGAAAGTAGAAATGAAATGTGAATAAATTAAGTCATTATTTATAGTTCTGTGGAACTTCCGTTTATTATTTAAATTCTAATCCTTTTGCATTCTCTTATTCATTTGCTCTCGTATTAAGCATTCATCATGGAACGTTTTATAAATCTATGATTATTTTGGTAATGCAAATAAATAATGTGCTGTTAAAACATGTAGCTATACATCATAAGGTAACGACTCCGCTTCCTATTTATTACAATATAGCATTTTGCCATTACATGAAACGGTAAATTCACAAACATATATAATGAACTTTAAAAGTGATGCCTGAATATTTCAGAGAATTTTACAGTAAATTTGTGCCATTCTTCTTTTATAATTTATAGACCATAACGTAGCATCCTCAATAAAAGAAGAAAAAACCATTGCAAAGCCCACTATTGCTCATTCATCCTATTTCTATTACACATATCATTCGGGATCCTTTTTAGCTGACTGACTGAATGACATAGATTTTGCAAAAGAACTGATATTTGTCTGAATATAAAAGAGCATTCAATGCACTCGAGAAAAAGAAGGAAGGAAAAATGTTATTCAACATATAGTGGGCAAGATCAGAAAAAAAGGGAATAAATATTCAAATTCAGATTTCTCTGCTTTTAATAACTTAATTAATATGATTTCTTCACTACATGATAGCTAATAATAGTAAGTTTCTTTTTAACATTCATTTTTCAAAATGGCGACTTATTAAGTTAGTTTAATTAACAAATTAACATTTGAAATCGATTTTTCTTTGAAAAGAAAGCAAGATAAATGATTGGAAGCTTGACAAAAGTTGTAGAGCTTGCTTTTTTCTATCATATGATCTTAATAGATTTTATTAAAAATGAGTTATTTTGGTTAAATTAACTGAAAACCAAATTGAATGTAAAATGTATTTTTAAATCAAAACTATTAACCTTAATCGGTCAAGAACAATTACTTGATATCTAAAGAGTCTTTTACTATTTAATTTACATTCGAAAAAGGCTTAAAAGTAAGTTAAATTAACTATAAAAACAATGAAATTTAAGTTGAGCAACAAATTTTGCTCTTATTTGCTCACAAATTTATAATTTTAAAAACCGTTACAAAATTTTTGGTCAAGTTTTTTACTATAATTTAATTTTCTCTGCTTGTCTTGAACAAAAAGTAATATTTCTTTTGCAATATGATAAACATTGTTGAATTCTATAGTTTGAAATGAAAAAATCAGTAGACGAATAACACAGCAATGACTTATGACTAGTTTTGTAAAACTCATCATAACTTGGTTAATTATAGAAGAATTGAAAATTTTCTCTCAGAAACTTAAAGAAAATTACATATGTAACCTTTTTTGTAAAGAAAGATAGTTCCTAAACTATTTCCTTCATATCAAAATTTCAGCTTCAACATTTTAAAGCTGAATTAAGCTAACTTACAAATCCGCCATTTTGTATATTTTAGACAAAACTTTTAATGATCTGATTACTTAATTATCTGGTGAAAAAATCGTTATGATTAATGAAGTATTCGCAGAGATATTACATTTGCAACATGGTGTAAAATCGAATTTCCTCAAAATTGTTCGTGACGCTTAGCACTTTAAATTAATTTTTAATTATAATACAATGTCTAAGAGATACTTGTTATACACCAAAATATAGGTCTTGGCAAGGACTATAAGAAAAACACAAGTCTTAAATACATATTTCGCATTATTGATTCAAAAATTGTAAATTATTGTTAAGCGTCACGAACAATTCATTTTTGATCTTGCCCTAGTGCAATTTTTTTATATAAATAAAACGACACAAACCACAGAATGGCAATGTGCATCATCTTCAAGCTTAAAAAAAAACAGAGTGTGAGAGGAGAAAAAAAGAACAATCAAAACCTTGAAAAAAAAAAATAAAGTGAAGAAGTATAGGAAAGATGGATAGAAAACCAACATTCTTGTGTCTGCATCAAGAATAAGCAAAAGAAATTTATTGTCATCTTTCTTCACTTATTTATACCAGGAAATAAATCATCAAATATGTATGGCATGAAGTCCCCATGTAGAGTAGAAAGGCTATAAGAATACAGCGCAAGGCACAGCAAATGTTAAGTAAATAAAAAGAATGAGGTAGAAAATTGGAAAAGAAAAGAAAAATCTTTTGCACCTTTTTATTCTTCAACCAATAATATAATAAGGTCATTTTCAGCCTGCTTACAACCAATAATGTTGAATGGAATTTAAGTAATTTTCACTTTTTTAGCGTCAACAAAAGGCTTCAGAAATTCTAGTTCTATTATGTTAAATATACATCTCTTTCTCTTAAATAAATGAAATTAATACGATGAGAGACAAAGATTGAAAGTTTCTGATGTAGGTAAAGTAAGAATCTGTTTCGTGCTCCTAATTAGGAAAAAAATTCCACAATCGACATATTAAAAGAATTTAATGTTGCCTTATTTTTATATATAAATGAGAATGCATAACTAATCATTAATATAGTTTAAGGGCAATTCTACGAAAAGGTTTCATGAAAATAATCCGTGTCAATTGCATGAAATATTTTAATTATTTTATTTTCACTTGTGCATAGTTTTTCAAAAATCTAATTCTCATTTCCTTTTCTATTGGTTAAACTGTGAATTATGATTACATCTGCACTCAAAATATTTTTTGGAATTGTCTCCAAATTACTCTGTTTCACTAATGAAATTTTTCGTAGAATCCAAATTGCAGCTTAATTAAGGCTTCCAAAAATATGATTTTGACATCGTTTTGAAACTTTTACTTTAAGCTATAACTTTGTATACTTAGTATTACTGAAAATTTTACCACCTTAATATATAATGTGTGAAGGGCCCAGCCTTTCAGCTGGAGGCACTGCGATTCAAATTAGAACAGAATCTATTGTACCACACCCTTTAGACCTACAGTTTATAGTGGGATCCGAACCACTTGCAAGCTCTGTACATTGCAAAGACACGAGTACGTCATAAGACCACCTTAAAGATATTAATGAAAACATTTTGGAAACTGGGCGAAAAAATTCATGTGAAACAGAGTAATTTTTCGTAGAATATAAATAATTCTTTAATTAACCATTTTTAATATGTTTGGGTGAGAACAATATGTAAATCTCAGAGATCGAAGCCGATTTTTTCGGCTTAACTCAATTTTTGATTTTTTTGATAGAAAAAAAGCCATTTGACACCCATTTCAAGTATTTAAATTGAACTTTACATGCTTTACTATGATTCTGTGTAATATTTTGTCAGCATGTAGCTATAGTGAGTTCAGAATTTCAATTTAGCCGATTTTAAGCCGAAATTTAAGCCGATCGGCTTAAAATCGGCTAAATTAAAATTCTGAGCTCACTATAGCTACATGCTGACAAAATATTACACAGAATCATAGTAAAGCATGTAAAGTTCAATTTAAATACTTGAAATGGGTGTCAAATGGCTTTTTTCTATCAAAAAAATCAAAAATTGAGTTAAGCCGAAAAAATCGGCTTCGATCACTGGTAAATCTCGGTAAAATCTACTATTAAATACATGAAGCATAGGGAGTAATGCAACTGATAAAGAGAAATATAGATTTGGAGACAAATTTGTAGAAAAAATCATTCGTAGAATCGCCCTTAAATATTTTATATAAAATGCACCTTTGATAAGATCAAAACACAGAACGGTAAGAAAGGAATAACAATTCATTATATGCCATAATATTTCATTAATACACATATCAATAAATTTATTTCTAAAACTTAATTGTTTCTTTTCAATCTTTAATCGATTCTCGAAACATTTACCATTAAAATGAGTACGTGGAGCATTAAGATAAATGTAGGCGCATTTTTTATTGCATGTATAATTTCTCTTGAATTTGTAAATATGACATTTTAAACGTTTCAAACTTGAAAACTTTGAAGACTAGAAAATTAATAAACTTACCAAGTTTATAAAGAAATAAAGAATTAAAAATAAGTATGGTCTCAAATCACAAAATAATGCTAATAAAACAATATCGAATAAACAAGTGGAGAATTTCAGAGCAGATAATAGCCGAAAATCAATCTAAAACAAAGAGCGAGCATGCGAATTCTTTTCCTTCCTTTTTCTCTTTAATTAAAAAAGCAAACACCTTAAGTGTTGAAGATTTGTTTACGCTTACTCGCATTTGCCAAACATAACAAGCAAATATAGCGAAACAAATGAAATAAAAAGAAATTAAAAAGATGCGAATATAGAATGGCAAGAAATCACAAATGAAAAAGCATTTATAAGTTTGAAAAAGTCTAACCGAACTTAAATTAATTGAAAGATATAAAGGAAGATAGTGTGAATTTTTATGTTTTGTATCATGTTTGTATCCTTTGAATTTTTTAATTCCTATTTCTTTTTTTGCAATAAAAAAATTGATTCTTCTCTCACTTAGTTGCTTGCTTTCCGACTAATTTCAGTGAAGATTTTCGAATTTTTGCACTTTATGTATATGTAAGCACACAAGAAAGAAGAAAAAGAAGAAGAATTAAATAAAATAAACGATTCTGAATGTATGAAAAACCATCTCAAAACGATAAATAAACCAATTTTTTCTCAAAATATCTTCAAATCAGCAAAGGGCGTATTATTCGTTTGAAATTCTTACTACACTTCTTTAAAAATCAAATAAAATATATATCACAGTATCATTTAGAGTGTGCTTTATATTAGTTTTTTGCATTGATGGCTTTAGAATGATTCTTTTCAAGAACTTGCTATGCATGGTGGCTATTCATTTCATTTGTCCAAAATTCTATGCATATGAGATTATATTTGAGTTTGTTTAGGAAATAAAATAAGAGTTGTTCACATCTGTTCATCTGTCTTGCAGTAAATACTGAAATCAGTCACGTGACATAAACAAGTCTTCAGCATGTTATCGCCTTGCCAAACAAATTGAGAAATTTAATATTCATTAACAATAGGTTTTTTCGTATATTTTACTGATTAGGAGATTAATATGTTAAAGTTTCAATTTATTGATTTTTATTCCTTGCTTCGCCAATTCTTATTGAATAAACACATGATTCATGATAAATTAATTCATTAAATTTTTATCGTGTTATTCTGTTGTAAATTTTCAACTCATAGCCTTGTCTTGTCGTGTCACATATATATTTTCATTAAAAAGCATTTTCTCTAGGGATTAGTATGTTTGTGTGTAGAATGAACAATTAAAGAAGAATTTAGATATTTCACTTTGAAAAGTATTTAATTCAAAGTGAGCAATTATAATATTCCCAGTTTTAAGTGACATTTTTATGGACACATGCAGATGAATGAGACTAAACCCAAAAAAAGTTTAAAGTATACAATTAAAACTATAAAATATGATGGTGTACAATAATAAAGTATTGTGTTTGTTAATCGCTTATTCAGCAGCTCATAACAAAAGATGATGGTGTGACATAGTTAAACTATCTTTTGTTGAACTAATATGATTTCAATAGATATGATAAGTATGCATCGACTTAAATAATAAAAATGTCAAACTAGATTAAAATCATACCCAATTCAGTTCAGTAATGCTATGCCTTTGTATCAAAAAGATACATATATTATAACAAACGTAAAAAAGAGAAACTTTTTATTAGCAAAAAAAAAGAAGACATAAAACACATGAATTAATATATTGTTTGAATATATTAGCCATTTCAGCATGCTCAAGTTATTGGAATTATAGCTTAGCTGTAATGTGATTCCAATCATACGCATATAAATTAAAATTTTTTTTTTTACCATTCGAGCTTGCTTATACACATATGAACCTGTTGAGAATATCTGTATAAGTTTTACGCAAATCTTTATGGTTGTTTCTTCTAAAGATGTTAACAAAAAAATATCGTGGTTCAAATGATTTTTTGCAAAAGATAACAAAAGTAGATTTAACGTCGTTTGACAAATGATGGGAAACGCTGCATGGAGGAACAAGTTGAGGCCATAAATATTGAGGTTAAACTATTGAAAATATGTAAAAGTGACATTTATTGCTGTATCATTGGAATGTCACGATATGTCAAAATGTAGAGTTTAATGAAATATATGGGTGCGCAATAGGCTAATGTTCATGAAATCTCCCTTTTGTTGCTCACGTTTTCACTTAGGAATGAAGATATTGTAATTGACAAACAATGCACTATTATGTGCATTTTCCCAGCACGACTTTAGGGGCCTTTCACTTATTACGTTCGCATTTTACGGGGGAGGGGGGGTTTGAAAAACTGTAACATAAGAGGGGGGGGGGTTCAAGAAGTATGTAACGTTCTTCGTCTTTTAAAAAAAAGTTCATGAAAAAAATTTGTTTGCAAATTCACACCAAAAACATTTTTTTAAATTTTCTACCTTTTTATTGATTTATGAAAAATTATCAAAATAAAATAAATTATGAACGTTCAGGGGGGGGTTGTGAGTTGTAACATATTGTAACAAGGAAGGGGGGGGGGGTGAAAAAAAAGTCGTTTTTTTGCGTAACGTAATAAGTGAACGGCCCCTTAAAGCCCTTAAAGATAGTCATAAATCTCTGACAACAAACTGACACTATTATTATTATGTGAATTTTATGTCTTTGGCTAATGATGATCAAAAGCATTAGATGAATATTAACAGATATGCTTACCTGATGTAATGGCACTTTAAAAGGTACAAAAGCAGTTCCTTCAACTAAATTCCCAATTTTAGAGTAGTCTAGCCATCTATCTGGAATTGTTTTCCCCATTTTAGATGCAAAGTAGCTGATTAATCTATTAGTCGATTTCGGTTTCTGCACTACAAATTTCCACACGTTTAATTTATTTAAAATAGTTTTCATAAAATTCCTCTAGATGACACAGGCTTATTGCTTATGGCTTATTTTAAATAATACTTAGAAAATACAGTTCAAAAGGCTATAATTGCACTACAATTCACTAAATAAATAGGTAAAATTCACGAATTATGATTAAAAATCCTAAAGCACGATTGTTTTGTTTATTTCTTGAAATGTAGAACCCTTGCAATAAATTTTCACAATTCATTTATAAATGTTATATTTATTTTACCTATTAAATGATAACTGGTAAAGAAGAATGTTAAAAGTAAAAAATACTGTTATTAGTAGCTATAAAAATTGTTAATCAACTTAAGAAAACTACGAATAGCTACTTAAATAAGCCGAATAATTGAATAGGTAATAACGATTTTTAAAAATTCAAATTGATTTGTATACAAGTATATCGCACATTTGCGTACCTTTTGGGCTCATTCACTTATTGCATAACGCTTTCAGGGGGTTTCAAAGAGGTGGAGGGGGTCTCGAAAGTATTTTTTTGCGTTACGTACTTAGTGAATAATCCCTTCAACGTTTGTTGTTTTATTGTAAAGAAATTTCAAAAATGTTTTCTTTTATTAAAATAATTTTATTAAGCATATTACTAACTACAGTTGCATCAAAAGTGGTAGAAATCGATGAGGAAAACTGGCCACAATTGTTGGAAGGTGAATGGATGGTCGAATTGTAAGTATAAAAGTGTAAAAATTAAATTTCGGCATATACTTAACCTTGCGTATTAAGAATTTATTTTTCCTTTATCCAAAAAAAAATTAAAGACACACGTTATGAATTTTTTATGATTCATGTCCAAATATCCTATCGTGATATTATTTTATGAAGCAGTTCCATTGTATTAATTGAAAAATATTGAATTTCGAAAATAATCTAGCAATAAATTTTTAATAATTTCATTTTATTCTTTAATTGAAAAAAAACCTCCTTTTTACATCTTATGCTTTTCAATTTCTTAGCTTTGCTAAATGGTGTCCAGCCTGCAAAGGCTTAGAATCAGTCTGGGCTGATTTTGGTACTTGGAGCAATGATCTGTCAATAAAAGTCGCAAAAGTTGATGTTGTGTAAGTTGCGTTATTTTTTCATTCGATATTCTGTATGCTACATATAAAGTTACTATATTGTTTTCAGTAAGAACCCAGGTTTATCGGGTCGATTTTTTGTAACAGCCTTACCTACTATTTATCATGTGAATAACGGTGATTTTCGAAGATACTCAGGTACTCGAGATATTAACGCATTTATGTCTTTCATTGAGGATAAAAAATGGGCAGACATTGATGTCATTAGTGGATGGAAAAAACCTGATGGCGTTGCAATGGGAATTTTATCGTGGTTCTTCAGATTATCTCATTTCTTAAAGGTACATTTAGACAAAAATAAAGTTTTTAATACAAAAATACATTTAATGTTATACATCTGTAGGAAATTAACAACACACTTTCGACACATTACGGTTTACCTACGTGGGTTTCTTATGGGTTATTTGCCATTGCCACAATCATTTTAGGAGCTGTTGTAGGACTTATTCTTGTTTGCATTATTGACTTTATTTGGCCCCAAAAACCAATGCAACGTCAAAGCTTCTCGGAAGTACAAGAAAAAGATAAAATGATTAAACGATCTAACGAAATAATAAATGAAGATCTTGTTGATGACACAGGAAATAATCTGGATGAAAATGATGATACTTCGGAGGCTGAAAAGAATTCTGGAAGTGACGAGGATGATGATAATGAAGAAAAGGAGGTAAAAGAACCTTCACCAAAGGCTAGCCCTGATGTTCGAAAGCGTCGCACACGTAAGGCTGATTAAATATATCTCGACATCACATTCTTTTCTTAAAGAAAGCGGACAAAAAATATTCACTGAAGCAACGCATAGATAAAAGACTCAATTTGATGAGTTTTATTTTAAATTTCAAAGAGGAAGAAAATGAGATTTTTTTAAACACTTTTTCAAACCTCACGAAAATCTTACTACAATGATTCGCAAAGTATATGACTTTCTACATATATTTTTTTAAATTTTGTCACTTTTTTTTATTGTGTTAGAAATTAATTACTAAATTATTGCTTTACATTACATAAATGATCCATTTAATGATATTTTTTCGCACCTTAATAACTATAGTTAATAGCTAGTGTTATGATGAATGCCTATGAATGAACTTAGAATGGCGTTTTGATACACTCTCACTTACTTGAAAGACTTGCAAATTAAAACAACTTTGTCATTAATATTAAAAGTAAAATAATATGATTAAAATAATTAATAAAATACAATATAGCTACGATGTAAGTCTTAAAAAAAAGGTAAACTATTTTTTCTCAATAAAATCAAGTTTTGATTAAAATGTTCATTGAAGATTCTTTAATTCTATCATTACTTTTTATGTTTGGTTATCATCTTGCTATGATGCTAGTGACATCTATGCGTGAAACACTAGTAACTGTTTTTTTTCTGTTTTTATTTTTTAATAAAATTCAATATTTTTCTTATATGACGAAAACTAAATCACTTAAGTGTTTATTGTTTATTAAAACTAAAAACCTTGGGATCTTTAAAAATGAACACAACTGTTTAGCAGATGTAGACTATTGATCATGTAATTCCATAAAAAACATAATTTCTGCAAAAGCTTTGAGCATCGTCTTCATCAACGCAGCACATTGCAAAAAATTCTCATACATCTTTGACATATCTCATTAAAATCTTCACTGAAAAGACAAGGTTTGTAACGTTTATCAAAATAATGTGTTCATCAAATTATTTATTGAAATCAAATTACAAACAAAATCTTTACAAATTGCATCCACTAGAGATAAAATCGAAATTTTTTTACAAAAATTATTTTATTGGCTTATTTGAAAGGTCTTTATCCAAGGAATCAGAATATATTTTAATTTTGGCCCAAAGTGCAGCAGTGCTGGAGATGTAGCCCGAAATGTATTTTGATGACCTTCGATAGTTAATATTTTCAATTTATCAGAACTTTTTCTTGTCTCAACCATTTTTCTTGAAACTTTTTTTAAATCAAAGATATAAGCTGAATATAAATATCAGTCACATAAGTTTTACTTCATGGAAAATGCTTAAAAATTGACTAAACTTCAAATGTTAGTAGTATGGCACACTTTTTTTTGAGTATGTGGATTTCTGATGCACTTGAATGTTTTTCTTTTTTCATAAAATTGTATTCTTTTTCTAGATCTACAAGAAAAATATCCCTTTCAAGGATTAAAATTATATTTATGCATCAAAAAATTGAGATTTTTTCAAAAAATATACGTTTTTTTACTATGTTTTGACTTCAATTGACTATAACTGCATATTCCAAGTGAGTGGAGAGACAAGTTTTGACTGTTTTATATAGCCATCACTTGTATCTTTCTAAAACTGTGAAAACCTGGAAAAAAGTATCGCCAAATTTTCAACTTTGAACCATTTAAAACATCTCATCTGCATACACCTCAAAAATCTTATTCAACTTTTTTCATCAAAATCATGCCAAAACTTGATAAATCTTTCAGGAATGTTAGAAAATAGTGTTTTTGATATTTTAAAATCAATATGAGTTTTTGACATGGACTTGGACCATTTTTATTTGAAATGTCATCATTTTCCATTTTCAATGAGATGTAAATGACTTTAAATACACTATTTGCTTAACAAAAAGTATTTTTATTATTTTTTATGTTAAGCTGCTTAAATTACCTTTCCAACGATATATAATATGTCATATATGAGTACAATATCCCTGAATAATGTTGAAAAAACTGAAAAATTACTTCGAGGAGTGTCAAGAACCATACTTAACATTTTTGCTCAAAACTGTAAAAAATCTCAAGTATATATTATAAGTTTGGTACTGTTGGAAAGGTAAAAGTACTGGCTATAAGATAAAATCAAATTTTGAGTTGAAAATTTACCCAGGACACTGCTAGCGTATGGGAAACATGTCATAGTTTGACCAGCTCTATCAGATACAGTAAAAATAAAATTTTTATTTTTTCTCATGTTTTCTACAGCACTGCTGCACTTTGGGCCAAAATTAAAAAAAGATTCTGATTCCTTGGATAAAGACCTTTCAAATAAGCCAATAAAATAATTTTTGGAAATAAAAATCAATTTTATCCCATAGTGCATCATCTTTCGATGCTAATTTGTTATTTGTCACTAGGAATATAAGAAAATTAATGATTTTCTTATAACAACAGCAAGGACCTATATTATTTTTATATTCACACCGTAATCACGTGTGAATCTATTGGTTTTGTTCAGATTGAAAAATTAGTTTTTCGAATTTAGCGAGGAAATGGAGCAAGATAGCTTAACATGTCCAAAGATTGTGCCTGAAATTTCACATTTTCTGCAAAAAACAGATTTCAAATTGGTTGCGGCATTGCTGAGAAAATCGCAAAATACGCTTTCTGTAAGCAAACAAGCAAGCAAGCAAGTTAATCAGCAAGAAATCTCAATAACGAGACATCGTAGAGACTTCTAGTTTTTACATTTGATCCGTGCTGCTCTATAGAAGAGCTGTATTGTTTTTGGGCAAGGTAGGAACAGCCGTTGCTTCAGAAAAAGCAAAAAACTTTCCTTTCTTACGACTTTTTCAAATAAAAAAGTTTACTGTGATTTTTATATAATTAAACTTTAGATGAAAAATTTTTTTAGAAATCTTTCAAAGAATCTTCGTTAAGCTTTAAACCTTCAGAGCTTGAGCATATGCTCAACTAATCTTGCTCTGTCCATAAGACTTTTGATGGTACGGTGTGAATATGGCCGCATTGGGTTTCTACCCGATACACTAGTTTAGATATAAAATCGACATTTTTTTGAAAATAGCCCACTATGATCAAAAACCAAGAATGTTTTAAATTGCATTTTAAAACATATCTAGGTATTATAAATGATAAAGAATGCTAATAAATATAAAATCGATATTTTTTTGAAAATAGCCTACTATGATCGAAACCAAAAATGCTTCAAATTGCATTTTAAAAGATATCTCGGTATTATAAATGATAAAAAATGATAATTTAGATATAAAATCGATATTTTTTTGAAAAAAGCCTACTATGATCGAAACCAAAAATGCTTTAAATTGCATATTATAACATATCTAGGTATTATATATGATAAAGAATGCTAATGTAGATATAAAATCGATATATATTTTGAAATAGCCTACTTTGATCGAAACCAAAAATGCTTTGCATTATAAATGATATAGAATGCTAATGTAGATATAAAATCGAATTTTTTTCGAAAATAGCCTACTTTGATCGAAACCAAAAATGCTTTGTATTAAAAATGATATAGAATGCTAATGTAGATATAAAATCGAAATTTTTTCGAAAAAAGCCTACTTTGATCGAAACCAAAAATGCTTTAAATTGCATTTTAAACATATTTAGGTATTATAAATGATAAAGAATGCTAATGTAGATATAAAATCGAAATTTTTTCGAAAAAAAACCTACTTTGATCGAAACCAAAAATGCTTTAAATTGCATTTTAAACATAAATAGGTATATAAATGATATATAAATGATATATAAATGATAAAGAATGTTAATGTAGATATAAAATCGATATTTTTTGAAAATAGCCTGCTATGATTGAAACCAAAAATGCTTTGTATTATAAATGATATAGAATGCTAATGTAGATATAAAATCGAAATTTTTTTGAAAATAGCCTACTATGATCGAAACCAAAAATGCTTTAAATTGCATTTTAAACATAAATAGGTATTATAAATGATAAAGAATGTTAATGTAGATCAAGATATATAGATGAGCTCATACAGAGTATACTTGACCATACTCGACCATACTATTTTTTGTGTACTTATACAAACAAAAATTTTTAAAATTTTCTATTTTCAAGTTTTCATTTAAATATCGACAGATGCAACAACATTTGTCTTAAGTCAGTTTCTTTAAATTATAGCAAAGCATTTGCAATACTCCTGTATCAACAAAACTTAACAGAAAGTTGAAAATTTTGCAAACCAAAAATTGAAATTTTTCTTTTATAGTGTTAGTGTTTTTAGAAAATTCAAATTTTTGACGTTTAAAAACTGCGATATTTTTGTATGAGCACATCTATATATCTTGATGTAGATATAAAATCGATATTTTTTGAAAATAGCCTACTATGATTGAAACCAAAAATGCTTTGTATTATAAATGATATAGAATGCTAATGTAGATATAAAATCGATATATATTTTGAAATAGCCTACTTTGATCGAAACCAAAAATGCTTTAAATTGCATTTTAAACATATCTAGGTATTATAAATGATAAAGAATGCAAATGTAGATATAAAATCGATATTTTTTCGAAAATAGCCTACTATGATCGAAACCAAAAATGCTTTTAATTGCATTTTAAACATAAATAGGTATTATAAATGATAAAGAATGTTAATGTAGATATAAAATCGATATTTTTTAAAAAAAACCTACTATGATTGAAACCAAAAATGCTTTGTATTATAAATGGTATAGAATGCTAATGTAGATATAAAATCGATATTCTTTCGAAAAAAGCCTACTAGGATCGAAACCAAAAATGCTTTAAATTGCATTTTAAACATAAATAGGTATTATAAATGATAAAGAATGTTAATGTAGATATAAAATCGATATTTTTTGAAAATAGCCTACTATGATTGAAACCAAAAATGCTTTGTATTATAAATGATATAGAATGCTAATGTAGATATAAAATCGATATTTTTTCGAAAAAAGCCTACTATGATCGAAACCAAAAATGCTTTAAATTGCATTTAAAACATATCTAGGTATTATAAATGATAAAGAATGCTAATATAGATATAAAATCGATATTTTTTGAAAATAGCCTGCTATGATCGAAACCAAAATTGCTTTGTATTATAAATGATATAGAATGCTAATGTAGATATAAAATCGATATTTTTTCGAAAATAGCCTACTTTGATCGAAACCAAAAATGCTTTGTATTATAAATGATATAGAATGCTAATGTAAATATAAAATCGATATTTTTTAGAAAATAGCCTACTTTGATCGAAACCAAAAATGCTTTGTATTATAAATGATATAGAATGCTAATGTAGATATAAAATCGATATTTTTTCGAAAAAAGCCTACTATGATCGAAACCAAAAATGCTTTAAATTGCATTTTAAACATAAATAGGTATTATAAATGATAAAGAATGTTAATGTAGATATAAAATCGATATTTTTTGAAAATAGCCTACTATGATTGAAACCAAAAATGCTTTGTATTATAAATGATATAGAATGCTAATGTAGATATAAAATCG